AAAACATATCAATTATAAACATATATGCACCTAACAACAGACCCACAAAATACATGAAGTAAAAACTAACAGAAATGAAGGGAGAAATAGATAATCCAACAATAATAGTTGGAGACTTCAAGGTTCCACTTTCAGTGATGGATAGAACAAGTAGGCAGAGGATCAAGAAGGAAATAGAAGACTTGAACAACACCATAAACCAACTACACCTAACAGACGCCTATAGAGCACTCCACCCAACAACACAGAATACACATCCTTCTCAAGTGCACATGAAGTGTTCTCTGGGAGAGACCATATGTTAGGTCATAAAACAAGCCTCTATAAATTTAAAAGGATTGAAGTCATACAAAGTTTGCTCTCTGACTGCAGTGAAGTGAAATTAGAAATCAGTAACAAAAAGAAATTTGGGAAATTCACAAATATGTGGAAAGTAAACTCACTCCTAAATAACCAGTGGGTCAAAGAAGAAATCACAAGAGAAATTAGAAAATACTTTGAGATGTAGGAAAATGAAAATACAGCATACTGAAACTCATGAGATACAGCTAGAGCAGTGCTTAGGAGGAAACTTGTACCTGTAAATGACTATATTAAAAAAGAAGACAGACCTCAAATCAATAACCTTCCACCTTAAGAAACTAGAAAAAGATGAGCAAACTAAATCCAAAGAGAGTGAAAGGAAAGAAATAATAAAGATTAGAGCACAAAAAAATGAAAGAGAAAATAGAAGAGGCCACACATTTTATGATTCCATTTACAGACATACCTCCTTTTATTGCACTTTGCTTTATTGTGTTTTGCAGATATTGCATTTTTTACAAGACCCTCCACCTGCAAAAAGATTATGACTTGCTGAAGGCTCAGATGATGGTTAGCATTTTTTAGCAATAAATTATTTTTAAATTAAGGTATGTATATTGTTTTGTTAGACATAATGCAATTGCACACTTAATAGACTGCAGTCTCATGTGAACATAACTTTTATATGCACTAAGAAAGCAAAAAATTCGTGATTCCCTTTATTGCGGTGGTCTGGAACGAACCTGCAATATCTCCAAGGTATGCCGGTATATGAAATGTCCAGAATATGCAAATCCATAGAGGCAGAAAGTTAATTAGTGGTTTCCAGGGGCTGGGGAGAGGGAGGAATGGGGAATGACTACTAATGAGTACAGGGTTTCTTTCTGGGGTGATGAAAATGTTCTGGAATGAGATAGTGGTGATGGTTGTATAACTCTGTGAATATGCTAAAAACCGCTGAATTGTAAACTTTAAAAGGGTGAATTTTGTGGTGTGTAAATTAAATTGCAATAATGGTGTTAAAAAATTTTAAAACAGAGGTAATTAGGCAAAAGGGGTTGGGGGGAGCAGGGTTAGGGGAAGCATTTCCCAGGCAGGAATGCTTGGGGTGCTTGCAGGCCCCAAGGGGGAAGAATGTGGTATGTTATGGGAAATACAGAGGCCCAACTTGGGCAGGGGGTGGGGGTGGGGTGCAGATTTTGGTTTTGTCACCAGAGCAATAGGAAGCCACTGGAGGATTTCCATAGGCAGTCCCGCTGTGGGGCTGGCATTTTTTTTGGTGAGGAAGATTGGCCCTGAGCTAACATCTGTTGCCAGTCTTCCTCTCTTTTGTATGTGGGACGCCCCCACAGCATGGCTTGATGAGCAGCTTGTAAGTCTGCACCTGGGATTCAAACCTGCAAACCCCGGGCCGCTGAAGCGGAATGAGCGAGCTTAACCACTACACCACTGGGCCAGCCCCGGGGCTGGCATTTTGAAGAGCTCACTGACTATGTGAGGAGGACAGATTGGAGAGGGTCTGGAGTGGGTTTGAGGAGGCCTCTGCAGTAGCCAAGGTGAGAAGAACCTGCATTTCAGGGAGATTATTGTTCACTGAAACCACTGCTCTCTACCGGCCTCCAGTTGGAATCCTCCCGTTTATTCCTAATCAGCCCAGAGAGTGGCCGCAATCTCCTTGCTTACCGGGAGGGTGGTTGGGGAGTGGACATCACATTAACCAGTGTAACTAGGACTGGTGGCTAGGTAGGGCCAGCCTAGTTGCAAACAGTAGAGATTGAACAAAAACAGGAATTTATTGCCAGGACACTGGAGTATCTCACAGAAGCCCAAGCCCTAGAAGGGCTGAATCAAGCACGTGGACCAGGGGGAAACCTGAAAGCCTGCTCTCTGCCTTGGGTTTCCTTCAGTCTCTGTTTCGGCTTCCCCTCTCCTTCCTCTCACTGAAGACCACCTTTCTGTTTCACGGGCATTTCCGCTTGGGGAAGATGGCCCCTCTAACATGGGGAAATGGCTCTTAAGTTTGCAATTACTATACCAGAGAACAGTTGAGTTGAGACTTTGCTGCTTTAGCCCATTTCCCAGATTCCCAAGGGAGGGACCTTGACGTGCCATCTTGGGCTGGGTGCACTCCTGGAAGAGTCAGCTGGGCCCGAGGGGGCTGGTCACAGTGGAAACTCGGGGCTTCTGGAGCCCACCCCTGAAGGCAGCTGGGCAGCTACAGTAAGGCCAGGGAGAAGAAGGGGCATTGGATGGGCTGCTGGGTTACCTTATGTCAAGGGTCCCTCCCCCTCTGCTGTGGGTAACTCACTGCCTAGGACTGGTCTACCCCTTGGGATAAACTACATGAGACCTCATTTTGTCACTTGAACTGGTTTGCAAACACAGCCCTCTGCCTGTCCATCTCCCCTCCCCTTTTGGCCTTCACTTTCAGCCCTTGACTGGGCAGGGAACATTCCAGAATTTAGAATGAGTCTTACACCTTTTGAATTCTGTCAGCTCCCCCAGAAAGAAAGGCCTAGCCCACACTCTGCTGAAAGGCTTGTTGAAAGGACTCCTGTTACTGTCATCGTCTCCTTTTTTACCTGCTGTTTGAAACTCAGTGGTGCTGATTCAGGTGCCTGGAAACCCTAGTGACTGTGGAATAAATGAGCCTCTGATTGGGGACAGGAGGGGACAGGAAAGGTTGTGAAGTCCGGTGGGGGGCATGGGTGGGGGTCAGCTGCCACTGACCTCACACAGCCCCACGATGTCCAGCCTCAGCTCACTCTCTTTCATCTGGCCCACAGGGAATGCGTGCTGGGCCGCCCTTTCTTTCTGCAGGGGACGCTGTGGTCAGGAGACTGCTGGCGGGGCCGGGAGCCCCAGGCCCTTCCGGGGGGGGGCAGCCATTTCCAGTCCCGAGGAGTGTGATTGATCCTGGATGGTATTTTTTCTCTTGCTGTGAGAAGCAGGGAATTGGAGTTTTTCAGTCACTGCTCTCAGATATCAGTAGAGGGAAGAGGAAGGACTCTGCATGCAGATGTGGGTTCCGGAGCTCATTTCTCTTTGAATTCCTGCAGCGTTTATAGGAGACCATGCGGTTTGGTGCTTTCTTATTTAGGGCTGTCTGCTGGTTGCCTAGCATGTTGTTTTCAATATTAATAATGATGCTGGTGGTGGGCACGTAGCTGGTGCCTTCCCACTGATTAGCAGTCACAAATCTCTCCATTTAATTTCTGTTACAACCAGGTGAAGTAGGGCAGATTGTTTTATATGCATTTAATAGTTGATGAACCCTCACGTTGCCTGGGCTTGGGGAGGGGACGTATGTCGGCAGGGACTAAAAGCCTGGTTTCTGATCTCTAATCCCAGACTCTATTCACAATAGAGTGCCACGATATTCTTTCAGGCAAAGACTGTGTCTTATTCCTCCTGGGTTTTCCTGTCATTCATCCATCTCTCTATTTATTTCTCCATCTTGTTCCATAAAGGAATCAAGATGCCCACAAGAATACATATTTCTTGAATATATACATCTTGAATATATAAGAAATATAGAAAGATGTGGGCCAGCCCCGGGGCCTAGTGGTTAAGTTCGGCGTGCTCCACTTTGGGCCTGGGTTCGCAGGTTCAGATCCTGGGCACGGAACCACACCACTTGTCAGCCATGCTGTGGCAATGACTCACATACAAAATAGAGGAAGACTAGCACAGATGTAAGCTCAGGGCGAATCTTCCTCAAGCAAAAAAAGAAAAAGGAGGAAGATTGGCAACAGTTGTTAGCTCAGGGTGAATCTTCCTCAGCAAAAAAAAAAAAAAAAAAAGAAAGAAATATAGAACTATGTATTTATAATAAAAAGATAAAGTTGATATTATATGCCAGACCTATATGTAGATATTTTTATATATATATTTGTGTGTACGTGTATGTGTCTGTATGTATATATGTATTTAAATAGAAACCCGTGAAAATAAGATCAGGAAAAATATAGATTAACTGGAAGGTCAAAACCGGGGAGAGAGGTAGACTACATATTCACGCCATAGAATTGTACTACTTTACTATGTTTGAACCACAGATTTAGCTCTGAGCTAATGAGCAGTCAAAGCAGGAAAAAAATATTTACATGGTTCATGTGGTCCATAAGGAGAAGGAAATCAGATGCTGAGTGCTTTTTCAGGCAATTAGATCTGAAGGAAATTTCTTGCCTGAGTGGTCATCTGTGGGACCCTGAGTGCAAGGGAAATATGTGGCACGTGTGCCGCTGCTCTCTGCTCCTGCTCCCACGGCAAACATCACCAGTCAACCACGGCCCTTCCCACTGAGGCCGGAGAGAGCTTACAGTCCCTCTAGTGTGGTGTTCCAGGAAGCCGAGACCAGTGACTTGGAGTCGGCATGCAAGACGAAACCCAGTTGCCACTCCAGTGCTGGAGGTGATGGCGGTATTGGGGAGTTACGAGGGAGTTCTGAGTGGAGAGCCCCATTACGTCTCAGCAAGCACCTCTGCAGGGGTGACACAGCTGGACACGTCCTGTTGCCTGTTGGAGATGTATTTGCTGTAAAACCCCTCAGTTGGAGTGAGGGGTTGGGCCAGTTGGAGTGACCCGTCAGGGTGATGAAAGTGAGTGAGTGTGTCTGGAGGGACATGGGGGCCACATTAGGAATTTCTGACTCATTACAGTCCCTCATTTGTTCCACTAAAATATTTAGCAAACACCTATTACTTGCCTAGAAAGTGTGCCTGACGCTCTCTCCTCACCCCTGTGGTCCTGGTTTAACATCACTTCCTCAGAGGCGCCTTCCCCGACTCTTCCCCTACACGAGTGCTCACAGATCATGTCTCTCTGTACCTTTCTCTCTCAGCCTTTATCACAGCTTGTATGATATATTTATTTATGTTTATTTGTTTAGTGTTTTGCTCCCCCTCCAAGATATGAGTTCCAAGGTGGCAGAGACAGTGCTGTCTTGTTCACCATTATATCCCCCGTCCTGGCAGAGTCCAGCATGTAATTGGTGCTCAATACATAATGGTGGAATGAACAAATGAAAGAATAAAGAGGCACAAAGACGGAGCAGATGCAGACTTCGCCCAGTGGAAGATAAAGACATGAATGAATACAATATAAGGTGACAAATGCTCAGTGCTGAAGAGAGGGGACAGGCGAGGAGCTAATGGACTTCAGGGAGGAGGGGCTACTCCAGAGGGAAGAGATCAAGGAAGGTTCATGGCGTAGCCCCATATGCTGGGTCTGGAAGGATGAGGTGGAGGGGAGGGACGTCTGGGGCCCTGGAGGCAGCAGGAGCAGAGGCAGAGGCGGAGCTGGGGGAAAGAAGAGCCAGAATTATTTTGGGGTGCCCTTACGGCGGTGGCGGGGAGCAGGAGCAGCTACGCCAGGAAGGGTGGGTCTGAGCCAGCTGCTGGAGCTTTGTCCATCAGGCTTGATTTGGGCAGCAGAGAGGGCAGCAGCAAATTTGCAAGCGGAGCAGGGATGGGGTAAGAGGGTCCCCAGGCGGGCAGGGGCCAGCTGGAGAGGAGCTAGGGAAATCAGGCAGCCCGAGTTTGGCCCGGAGCGGTGGAGGCAGGACCCAGGGGGAAGGCACAACCTTTGCTCCGAGGACTCAGTTTATACCCTGCCTCTCCCTGTCAAGGAGAGAGGCCTGTCGACTCTTGGGGACCACCCTCTGGCAGGCTCCGGCCCCAGGACTCCAGACTAGCCCCAGCTGTGCACCCCACCCCCGCCCCCAGCCCGGCCTGGCCCAGCTCTCCAGGGGGCTTTGTGTAGCTAGTTCACTGAGTAACACCGTTGCCAACACATTTCTAATTTTAAAATAGAACATGTATTGGTCACATTTGTAGCAGTGCTATCTTGAGCATAACTTCTTTTAATGCTTTTATTCTCCAGACATAGATTTATTTTCCTAATTTCCCTCCTCTTGAGCTTTTTAAGGTGTTTTTAGTCACTTATCTAGGGAACTTTTATTTCCTATTTATATTAATTATCAAATTACTCTGTTTGATGCCTGAGTCACTCAGTTTATCCCTTTTGGCCTCCTTGCAAATCTTCCACGTGGGTTTATTAAGCAGTTTGGCACCTGCTTTCACGTTCACACCTGTTGGTGAAGCTTTGCCTGGAGAGTGAGGAGATGCAGGGTGATGGGCTTCGTTGCTCGTGATTCCTGGATCTTAGGATGATGCCGGATCGAGAGATGCTAATGGATGCACACGCCCCCCACCTATTAGCACCGAAGGTTCTCAAGTCAGCGTGCAAGGCTTCCTTCCCATATTCATTCTGGTTGCTCTAGGCCAGAAGACTGGCCATCCTGGGGTGGTCAGAGGTGGACAATGGAGCCTGAACGTGGAGCCTGAAGGACAGGCCTGGGTCTAGGATGACCTGCGGCAGCTTCGGGCGTCCCTGGGGGCATCGACAAGCCGGTGAACTTCCTGTAGTGGTCTGGGTAAATGCCGAGGGAGCAGCTCAAGCGTGGTGACAGACAAGGGAAGCTGCCACACCGTCCAGGGCTGTGGAAGAAGCCCACAGCGGAGGGGCTCCCTCTGGGCACGTGGCTGCTGCAGAGGAGCCAAAGTAGGCCTGGGAATGAACTCTGGGCGCTTCACAGGAAGCAGCTGCTGCCCTGACTGCTGCTGGCACAGACCTCCAAAGGGGAAATTGGGCATGGGAGCAGGAAGCTCACTTCCAGGGCATTCCTATTAAGATGTCAGGCTCGCTCAAGTTAGCATGTGTGGTGCATTCCCGCTCCTTCCCATTCCTGGACCCTTGATTGCAAATGACAGAGACCCAACTCAAACTAGCTTAAGCAAAACACGGGGGAATGAAAATGGTGGCGTGGCTGGGTCCACTGATTGACAATGCCATCAGGATTATTTATCTCCATCTCTCAGCTCCGCTTAGCTTCATTCTCAGGCTGTTTCCAAGTGGCAGCAAGATGGCCATTGGCCATCCCAAGCCAGCATCGTTCTCACAGCTTGCTGTCACAGAGAAAGGATGTCTTTCTCAGTAACTCTGGTGAGAGCCCCGGGAAGACTCTGTGTGGCTGGGCCTGGGTCACAGCCAGTCACTGTGCCCCGGGGGTGGGGGTATTCTAACCGGTCAGCCCCAGTCACATTCACCCTGAGGAAAAGGAAGGAGGGGCCGGTTTCTCCCACCCAGAAGGACTGGGCATGATTTCCTTGGCCCAGAGGAGGAATCATTCTCAAAGAAGGGAATGCTGGGCAGAAAAATGTATGTCCATTATGGAAAGCCAGCAGAGGCCTTGGGCTTTGCACATGGGCGCACAGCTGTCTGGAGCCTGGGGGCAGTGTTAAGGGTGCCATCTGCACAGCAGGGCAGCAGCATGCCCATCTCGCTCGGTTGTGCGGAGTATGCACACTCAGGCCTCTTCCCATCCTCAGGTTTGGCCCATCCTGGACCTTCAAACCGAGCCGGCCTTATCCGTGCAGCAAACCGCTAGGAGCATGTGGAAAGCAACCTCTCACCACCGTGTTTGTCCAAGATCAGCACCAGTCCCTGACACCCCTTCTCACATCTCTTTGGCCTCCGGTCCCTGGATCCACAAATCTGGCTCTCACGTCTGCATTTGGCCCCTGTCCCTGCTGAGGTTCCAGTCTCTTTTATGGATGCTTGACTCAGCTCAAGGTTCAGCTTATTTTGGTGTCACCTGCACTTTCCAGCCTGTGGTCCTGCCGGGGGAGGACAAAGTGGCTAGGTTGGATGTGGCAGAGGAGGCTCCTCTCCTCCATTGCTGCTCCTGAACTCAGGGCACACGCTCAGGATGAAGGACCAGCTGGTTCCCAGCACGCCTCGGTATGTGGCAGCTGTTTTCCACAAGCTGAGAGACAACTTGGATCACATTCTCCTGTTCGATACCACCAGTATCACACAGCAGCACTTCTCAACATTTTTAGCTACAGAATCTTTTCTTCCAATGAAATCTTGCCTGCAAGTCCAACATATGAAGCAGACAAGAGCCGAGTTGCTCCAAGTTGGGTTGGATTACACCTCTTTTATTCCCCCTCCAATTCCACATCAGCAGCCCTGAAGAGGGCTCCTTGGAACCCAGTTTGAGAACCTCTTTGTGATTATGTCCATCTATCCCTCTCGGTAGCATCTGCTTTTGTTCCCCATGGGCGAAGGGTTGCCGGATATGGTGTTTTTCTTATCACCACAATGTTCTTTCTGTCGTTAGCTTGTTTGCACCATGAAAAGGTCAACAAGGAGATCCTTGTCATCTTTCTTCTTGCTGTAGGCAGGCATCAGGGTGTAATGCTCCCTAGCTACGCAGGGGCTCACTTCATTACCCTCGTCCTCCAGCTGCATTTGGGAGGCCGTTCCCCTTACAGCATCGGTCAAGTTATCTGTGCCTCAGTTTACCTTCTTCCTAGGGAACCACATCCCAATGGGTGTCCCACCCCTGGCAAGTGAGGCTTCAGGACATCATGAGATGCTGACATCCCATGCATGACCACTGCCTGGAATGAATATTTTGGATGCCTTTCCATGAAATGTACCCTTTCTAACAAAAAAATCCTTGAAATTTATAAAAGTGGCCAGACTAAAAAAATAACACCAAAAAGAATGCAAACATTCCCAAAGGAGGCCTCCCTCTAGTAGGCATTGTCCTGCGTCTGCTCAGTTTTAGAAGACTATATCTTCAGGGGAATTGATCACCAGCAAACAGGCCGTAGTCTGGCTTCGGCCAGGCTTCCGTCTACCGAGGAGAATCCAGGCCTTGGTTTAGCTCCAACTGAGCCTTCCCAGTGGCTGCCACTTATTGACTTAAGTGTGAGTGATTCAGATCTTCATCAGGGTCACCCCTGACAACATAGTGGGAAGGAGAGTGACCTCCTCCGTCTGGGGCGCCAGCAGGGCCAGGCTCGGGCGAAGCCCTCTCAGTTCCTGGTAGGTGTTTTGATGTCTGTGGCTCTGAGGGGACAGGAAGATGACTTCTGTATTTCCTGGAGCGGGGGGCCCAGTTCATATAGAGGTTTTCTCAGCACTTTGCTAACTCCCAGGGAAGGGTGTGTGTCTGTGCGGGTAGAGTGTCTGGTTAATGGTTGACAGGAGACTTGCCTTTCCAGGTTCTTACATCCTGTTGCTTTAGAGGAAGAGGCAGCACGGGTTGGAGAAGAACCACAGCCCCCTCCGGCACCCCCTTGACAGTTGCTACACTTCCTATACCCTGAACTCAGTAGACAGGGATTGATTTGGGGGTGGCGGGCGGAGGGGGTGTGTGTTTTGTAGAAAGTTGAGCAGCAGATGGGCCAAGGGCTAGGTGGAGAATGGGGCCATGTTAATGCAACTGAGCAAACTGGAACATTCTGTTTGATAAATATTCTTATTGTGTGTCATGCTGTGTGTAGGCACTGGAAGAGGGTGCAGGCTCTGTGCCCCCAGTGCTCACATTGGGAGTCAGTCAGGACAAGACTAAGACAAGTCCCCAGATAACTGTGTGACAGGGCCAGAAAAACCAAGGGCCACAAGGAGACACAATAAAGTGCCAAGGCAGCGTTTCTTAGAGTGTGAGGGGATTTTGGGTATATTCTACAGTAATATTAAGTATATGATACAGATGAGCATTTAAAACATTTTAGGGATTATGTATGTATTCTCGTATATTAGAACATTTGTTTTCTTCAGTTGCCTTCTGATTATGGCAAATGATATGAGTTTCTATTTATGCTGGAAATACAAAGTTTCCTTTGAAAATAAATTTAAGTAAAAGAGTGAGTTGATTTAAAGGAAAATATTGAGTAAAGAATAGTACAGGGCCCATGGGGCGAGGGCAGGAAGCATGGGAATGCCTGAGGTTTGGGAACCGAGTGCTAGAGGAATTCAGAGACAGGAAAGGAAAGGGCTCGGAGGAGTCTGGTGGGGCCGGAGGGTATAGGATCCAGGTGGAGATGGGAGAGGATGAATCTATACTTACAGGTCCAGGAAAGTGTGTGCAGATCCTGGTATAATCCATTTCAGTTGCAGCATATGAGTCCTCTGGGAACGGGAGGGTGGGTTCAGACTGTATTGTAGAGGACCGTGAATCCCAGGGCGCAGACTCTGAACTTAATTCAGGGGCAATGGGAGCCACTGAAGGTGCTTGAGCAAGGGAGTGGTTCATGACTGTCTCTGAAGAGACTCACTTGTAGTGGGTACCAGGACTGGATGCAGGATGACCAGTCAAGGCCTAAGTAGAGAGAGGACGGGAAGCCCAGCCAGCCAGCCTGTCTCCCGCTGGCTCTGGCAGGCAGCCTAGAGAAGTTGGAGAGAGGCAGGTCTAGGGTGGACGAGCCATGCCTTGGTCTCTCTGCGGGGAGTCAGTGGGAGCCGGGCAGAGGTGCAGGTCACAGGTTGTGCATGGAGGCCTGGAAGGGAGGTGCCCGCCCCTCCCAGCTGGGCCCAATGGCCAGTTCCTGGTGTCTCCTGGCCGAGCACGGAATGTCCTGGGGGAAGCGGGTGGGGTCAGCTGAAGGAAGCTCCTTCTGGGCCGGGCACTGAGTTCCTGCAGGAGGAGGAAGCGCGCAGTTTCCTGCCCTGCAGTTCGGCCGGGCAGCCTGGCCAGCAGCCCCAGCCAAGATTTCATTCATTAGCAGGGCCTGCGGTCATCTCATCTCAGAGTTTTTTGTTTAACTCTCCCTTTTCTTCTAGTGTGGAGAAGTTCACCAGGAGTTCAGAGACGGGCTTGGTTTAAAAAACAGGGTTTTTTGGTTATTGTTTTTTTTCCCCTTTGAGGGCCTACTGTGTGTCAAGGACTGTGTATGGAACTTCTGCTCTGTTATCAGAGTTCACCCTGGACAAAACCTGTTGGAAGGTATTATTACCTCCGTTGTACAGAGGAGGAAACAGGGTGTGGGGAAATTGAGTCCCAAATTACACAGTAGGTGAACTGCAGAGCTGACTCAGGCTCACACTGGTGTTCTCTGTAGGAGCGACTGTGGACAAGATGTATCACCCGGGAGAACTAATAACTCACTGTCTGTGCTCCCCTGTCTGGGTGTGGGGCTGTGCCCTGCAGTGTGCTGGGGTGCATCCGGAAAATGGTGCTGAGCACCTGACAGCGTTGCAGTGGGGTTTACACGGGTTATGATATGGCTGAGGTGCTACGTATGTTAGCTGCTATTCCTGCTGTAATTACATAAAGCTAGGATTTGCGCAATCCTGAACACCGATTTTACTGGAAGACATTTTGGGAAGGGTATCCCTTAGGGTGGGGGAGAAGCATTGTTTTAACTTTAAAATAATTAACATATATGGGGTAGAAGGGAAAATTTGACCTCGGAGACGTTTTGCCTTTGGGCTGGCTGTATCTGGCTGCACTCCCAGTCCTGGCCATCGGGAATGTGTGTGTAGGGGAGTGGGGAGTTCACTTTCCTCTGTGGTTAGCCTTACTTAGGTGAAGTTCTGAGAATCAAGCTGCTGTTTCCTGGGTGGTCCCAGGCCTCTTATCTCACCTGCCCAAAGTGGTGCCCAGGAGCCCTGTGTCCTAGTTGCCTGTGACCTTAAATAGCCGTTCCCCGAAAAGTTCACTTTCCAGCTCCACAATTCTGAGAGGCCTCTTCCTTTCTGGCAATTCTACCAAGACAGCCCTCTTCCTGGAATGTGTGCCTAATGCCTGCCAAGCCCCTGCCTTTTCCTTTCAGCCTCCACCAGACTCTTCTCCTCTTTGAAGCCCTCTGGGATTGCTGCAGAGAGAAATCCTGACTGCGCCGGCTCTTTGCTCCTGCTGTTCCCCAATCAGTCCCAGCATTTGTTAGAGCCATTGTCTGATTCATTCAGGATTCATCCTGCACATGTGCAATCTGCACTGGGTATTCAGGGCGAACAAAACAGAGGCGGCCCCTCTCCCTATGGACCTTATGGAGATTAATGAGTAAACAAAGAAATAAATGCACTTGTTCAAATTGTGATACGTTCAATGAAGAAAAAGAATTGGCAGCTAGTTATTTGTCGACGTTTCAGTCTTCTGCACTAGGCTGTGTCCCCCATGTGGGCCGTGTGCTGGGGGCAGAGCGGATGTTCGTGGAATAAGGCTTGAACGGTTTGTACGTTTCTCCTGGGATGATGAGATCAAATCATTAATTGACACAAAAACGTTTTGAAGGACATGACACGTTATACACATGTAATGTTAGTAGTATTGCAAGATTCTTTCCCAGTGATGAAGATTAGGGTAGGTCGATTTTTTTCTCTGTAGAAGAAAGTTCAAAATTGTTTTTCCATTGCATTGGTAATGATTGACTTTTTTTTTTTTTAACAGTTTTAGGTTTACAGAAAAAAATTGAGTGCAAAGTACAGAGTTCCTACATATTCCCTTACCTCCCTCGATTTCCTATTATTAAGGTCTTGCATTGATGTGGTATGTTGTTACAATTGATGAGCCAATATTGATGCATTATTATTAAGTCCACAGTTTACATTAGGAGTCATGCTTGGTGGTGTACATTCTATGGGTTTTGACAAATGTATAGTGACGTGTATCCACCATTATAGTATCGTACAGAATAATAGGTTCACTGCCCCCAAAATGCCCTGTGCTCTACCTGTTCATCTCCCCCACCCCCCAAACCGTGATCTTTTTATTGTCTCCATAGTTTTGCCTTTTCTAGAATGTCATATAGTTGGAATCATACAGTACATGGCCTTTCACGTGGGCTTCTTTCGCTTAGCAATGTGTGTTTAAGGTACTTCCATGTCTTTTCATGGTTTGCTAGCTTATTTTTATTGCTGAATTTTATTCCATTGTCTGGGTATATGACAGTTTGTTTATCCATTCGTCTACTGAAGGACATCTTGGTTGCCTCCAAGTTTTGGCAATAATAACTAAAGCTGCTATAAACATTAGTGTGCCGGTTTTCAGTGTGGATGTAAGTTTTCAGTTCATTTGTGTAAATACCAAGGAATGTAATTGCTGGATCATATGGTAAGAGTATGTTTAGTTTTGTAAGATACTGTCTTCCAAACTGGCTGTACCATTTTGCCATGTATGAGAGTTCCTCGCATCCTCGCCAGCATTTGGTGTTGTCAGACTTGTGGATTTTGGCCATTCTGATAGATGTGTAGTGCTATCTCATTGTTACCATAATTTGTGATTCCTTAATGACATCTGATGTTGCGCGTCTTTTTGTATGCTTATTTGCCATCTCTGTATCTTTTTTGGTGAGGCGTCTGTTCAGATCTTTTGCTCATTTTTTAACTGGGTTGTTCTCTTATTTTTGAAAAAGTAGTATTTGTTCCATTTAGAATCTTATTCATTGTCTCTGATTTATCTGAAAGGACAAGGAGAAAAGATTCTGTGTGTATGTGGGAGTGATTGTCATGGGAAAAGGCCCCCAAACACACATAGTTCTGTTTAGCAAAGGGGACTATTTAGTGTCGAGAGATTGGGATACCCTTGAGATTAAGAGCTTGAACTTGGAGTTCAAATCCTGGGCTTTGTCACTTACTAACTGTGTGACTTTTGGTACGTCCTTCACCTGTCTGAGCCTCAGTTTGCTCACTTGTAAAATGGGCATGTTAAAACCTGCTGTGAAAAATAAAGGAGATGGTTCCATTAAGCTCTTGGCACCAAGCTTGACAAAGAGTAAAATGCTCAATAAATGATTCTAATAGAGCATTCTAATAGAGCATTTCACTTCTCCTGTGACACTTTGTGTTTCGCTTGTGTCCTAGTCTTTGAGACCCCAGAGCCCACTAGAATCCCATTTGTCCTTAGAGTGCAAACTTGGGGTGTGCGCACATGTGGGGAGCATGCCATGCCCAGGCAGGCACCCACTTCTAGGCCTTAGCCCTTCCCCGGTCTCCTCTCACTTCCCTTGTTGGGATCCCCGGACTCGTTCTCCTCGCCTCTTCTTGGTCACTCCTGCCGCTGGCCACGTCCCCTGGGCTGCTGTTTCTCCAAGCCTGGCTACAAGTGTAACACCCCAGCTGCTCCCCATTCTGACTTCTCTGAACCCCAGGCCTGTTTTGTTTGAGGGAGTTCCTGCTGACGGCAGTAAGGAAAAGTTAGAGAGGCAGGAAAGTGACCAGGTTGACCAAGTCCTCCCAGGAGTAGCTTTAGACTGGCCAGCTCCTGGCTCCTTTAGAGATGGGCCTTGGGGTTAGTTCCTGATGTGACCTCACCAACAGGCCCCACACCCCTCTCGGGAAGGCCGTATGGCCTTTCCTCTCATGCTCGTTTCTCTTCCCAGTAGATATGCCTTCTGCTCGCCAGGCCTCTGTCCAGAAATGACGCCCTCTGGGCATTTCCCACAATACAGAATGGAAGGCCCAGAAAACGTCCACGTTCGCAGTGGACTGCCTGGAGATAGGGCTGTGCCTCTAGGGTTTTTCATACAGCAGTCAGGCAAGCGGCAGGACTGGCCATAGGCAGAGGGCGAATTCTGCAAAACCACTTCTCCCTCCAACCAGAGAAGCAGCAGTTCAGTGGTTCTGATTGTGGTGGGGAAGGGAGATATATTATTCTGTTATGAACTGACCTCCTAGGTCGTTGAGAGAGTCAAATGTATTAATACATGTAAAATGCTTAGAGCAGAACTCACACACATTCAGTGCTAAATAAGGATGTCATCTGGTATGATCACCATCGGTGCAGACCCTTTCCCCAGGGCACCCCCACTCCTACTCCCTTACCCATCTCCCACCTCCCTGCCCCAAACTCCTTCACTTCCCTCAGGTGAGCTTAGGGGCTTGAAGGTACATTTTGGAAGAGGGCAGTCCTTACCCCAAAGGAATGACCATTAATTCAGTTTAGTACAAAAGTGTTCATTGAGGCCCCTAGCTGTGCTCTTCTGGGTGCTGGGAATTCCAAGGCTAATAATACTGATGATGGTGATGGTGATGGTGACAATGATAGTGATGATGGTAATGGTGGTGGTGGTGGTGATGGTGACAATGACAGCGATGATGGTGATACAATGATGGTGATGATGATGGTGACGGTGATAATGGTGTTGATGATGATGACAGTGTTGGAGGTGAGGATGATGATGATGACAATGATAGTGATGGTGATAATGGTGGTGTTGATGATGACAATGATGACAGTGATGGTGATGATGACGATGACAGTGATGATGGTGATACCATGATGGTGATGGTTGTGATGATGATGATGATGATGGTGATGATAGTGGTGATGACAATGATGGTGATGGTGATGACGATGATACAGTGATGGTGAGGATGGCAGCCCTGCACTGAGAGTGCGCAGTGTTACAGGTCCTGTGCTGGATGTGTTACCTGCACCATCTAAATCAGGGTTTCTCAAACTTGGTGCTTTGACATTTTCAGCTGGATAATTTTGTGTTGTGGGGACTACACTGTGCATTGTAGGGTGTTTGCAGCATCCTGGCCTCTACCCAGTGGGTTGTAACCAGTGGCACCCTCCCATTTGTCTCCAGACATTGCCAAATGTCGCTTGGGAGGCAAAATTACCCTGATTCAGAATCACTGGTCTAATTTATTCTTCCCAACAGCCCCAGGAGGCAGCTACTCATTTTACAGGTGAGGCAACTAAGGCTTAGAGAAATAAAGGAAGCTGCCCAAGGTCACTGAGCTAATAATTCACAGAGCCAGAATGCAAACCCCAGATACCTGGTCCAAAGAACAAACTTGTAACCACTGCCCTTTATTACTCGGCAGAAGAGGAGAATTCATCTGGCCCTTGGCAGGACCACCTGGGGCACATGACCAGGTTGGGGCCTGCTTGGTTAACCCCGGGCATCCATTGCCAGATTCATTTGGAGCTAATAAAAACAGTGGCTGCTGCCTGTTCTCTGACTTGGTTTGAACCCAAGTGCTGAATGTGTTTATGTGGAGACTGTCTCCGCAGGCCCCGGGCCTTTGCCATAACAGGGAAGTCCCACTGCTTCTTCTTCCTTCAGGCGGCCGTATCACCTGCCGACACTGTGGGGAGAAGGAACAGGCGTGGGCGTGTTCTTCTGCACATGGGGCCTCCTAGGTTCATTGTCTGTTTTCTCCCACTGAGGCTGTGAATCTGGGTTAACGGTTTGAATGTCCAAAATACTCATTTGTAATTTTACTTTTTTTTTTTTACGATCATTTATTATGAAAATTTAAAATATAAAGCAAAGTTGAAAGAATTTCGCAGTGAACACCTACATACCCACCACTTAGATTCTGTTATTAACATCTTACTACACTCTTATTTCGCTTTTCCGGAGCCCGGGTCAGTGTCGTCTTAGCAGGCGGGTCAGGGAGCTCACTATGAATTCTCTATGAGGAGAGTCAGTTAATAACATAGACAGTGGTGATGAGACAAAGATGGTCTTCATTAACCAGGTCAATAGGGGAGGTAAAGGGGCATGGCTGTCCCTACTCACTGTTAAAGTAAAACTAGTTAAAACAAGTTATTGAGTGAATTGGAAAGTTATTTAAAAATGTCATCCAGTATTTAATCCATGTTGTCTTAAAGTATAGAAATAATCCCAGTGCAATAATTTCAAACAATAAAAGTCACGTAAATTGACACAAAGAAGGCCATATTTGCGAAATTCTAAATTGTTGTCCTCTCTTTTCCTTTTGTGGAGCCCTCCTTTGTCTCAGAAACAAGCAGAGACCCTGGCAGACACGTTCACCCCTTCCTCAGCTAACTCCTGCTCCTTCCAGCCCAGATTCCGTGGGGCAGGGGGACCCACAGTCACATCCTGGCCCCCTCACCTTTCCCGAGTGGGCATCAGCTGCTGCTTCGGGCAGGGAGGGGATGTTTCCCGGTGGGCACCGTCCTATGAAGCCATGTAATTTCACATATCCCTTGGTATAAGTGATTCCAAACAATAGACACCTTTAAGACAAAGTTGTTGTTTTTTAATTATGCAAATTTTGAAAGCTTTTTATTTTGAAATAATTTTAGACTTCCATAAAAGTTGTGAAAATGCTTCAGAGAGTTCCTGTGTACCCCTCATCCTGCTTGCCCTGTTAACATCTGATATAACAATGTAATTGCTCCTCATTTTTTCCTTATCTTTCATGACCTTCACATTTTTTTGAAGAGTACTGGTCAGTGATTTTATAGAATGTCCCTCAGTTTGGTGCGTCTGATATTTTCTCCTGATTAGATTGTGGTCATGCATTCCTGGTAAGAACCTCACAGAGGCGATGTTGTGTCCTTCTGAGAGCATCATGTCAGGAGGTACGTGATGTCCATATGTCTTCTCACTGGTGACATTAGCCTTGATCCCTTGGTTAAGGTAGTGTCTGCCCGGTTTCTCCCCTGTAAAGTTACTGTTTTTCCTTCGTAATTAATAAATATCCTGGGGGAGATACTTTGAGACTATATGAATATCCTGTTTCTCCTCAAACTTCTGCCTACTAATTTTACTATCCATCCATGGATCTTTCCTGCGACAGTTATTACTGCAGTTTTTTGTTTTTGTTTTTTTTTAAATTTTTTGTGAGGAAG